TTTCTAAATGTTAATTATATATGCTTTTGTTATTCACTTTAAATTTATTATATTAGTAAGGATTTATATGTGCAAATATTACCTTATATATAAATTCATAATTTATATTTTTATACAATTTCAGGGATGCCAGAATGGATTTACACACAGAAAACATGGCTCACATTTTGGAAAATGATCATTTTTTTAAAACTTCATAGTAAGTATGGTTACCGTGCAGTATTTAATTTTTTAAAGATAGTTGAATACAGTACTTCACTGCTCAGCAATGCCATTCCACAGACTGTGAATTCACAGCCAGAATTCTGTAATTCATCCAACCCACCAGATGACTGATTCCTATGTGTATAGGGGACATGTACAAAGATCACTGAACACGTGTGTCCATTTGTAAAATGCAATGGTTTGTTCAAAGTTTCTTTAGTTGTGAACCATGAAGAGTTCTTAGAAATCACCAAACAGCTTATGTTCCCGACATCATTTCTTTTTTTATTGAATATATTCTTGATACATAGCCAACATATCTTTCCAAATACAGTTGCAAGAAAAAGTATGTGAACCCCTTGGGATTACGTGGAGTTTTGCATGAATTGGGCATAAAATGTGCTCTGAACGTCATCTAAGTCACAACAATAGAAGAACACAGTCTGCTGAACATAATACTATACAAACATTAGATGTTGCCATGGTTTAATGCACATAACATGTAAACATTCACAACATGAAAAACATGAGGCCCTACTTAAGTGCAAGGAGGACTCCAAAAAGATATTATGTGCTGTCCTGGCCCTGGGTTTACTGGTTTCAAGAAGCATTGTCTGATGTGAACCATGCCTCGCAGAAAAGAGCTCTCAGAAGACCTACGATCAAAATTGTTGACTTGCTTGAAGCTGGAAAGGGTTACAAAAGTGTCTCCAAAAGCCTTGATGTTCATGTGTCCACAGTAAGACAGATGGTCTACAAATGGAGAAAGTTTAGCACTGTTGCTACTCTCCCTAGGCGTTGTCGTCCTGTAAAAATGACTGCAAGAGCACAGCGCAGAATGCTGCATGAGGTAAAGAAGAATCCCAAAGTGTCAGCTAAAGACCTACAGAAATCTCTGGCACATGCTAACATTTTTGTTGACACATCTACAATAAGGAAAACATTAAACAAGAATGGAGTACATGGGAGGACACCACGGAGGAAGCCATTGCTGTCCAAAAAGAATATTGCACCACGTTTGAAGTTTGCAAAAGAGCACCTGGATGTTACACAGCACTACTGGCAAAATATACTGTGGACAGATGAAACCAAGATTGAGTTGTTTGGGAAGAACACACAACACTATGTGTGGAGAAAAAAAAGGCACAGCACACCAACATCAAAACCTCATCCCCACTGTAAAACATGGCGGAGGGAGCATCATGGTTTGGGGCTGCTTTGCTGCCTCAGGGCCTGGACGGATTGTTGTCATTGATGGGAAAATGAATTCCAGAGTTTATCAAGACATTTTGCAGAAAAACGTATGACCATCTGTCCGCCAACTGAAGCTCCGCAGAGGATGGGTGATGCAACAGGACAATGACCCAAAGCATACAAGTAATTCAACAAAACAATGGCTGCAATAGCACAGAATACACCTTCTGGAGTGGCCCAGTCAGAGTCCTGACCTCAACCCGATTGAAATGCTGTGGCATGACCTTAAGAGAGCGATTCACACCAGACATCCCAAGAATATTGCTACACTGAAACAGTTTTGTGAAGAGGGGTCCACAATTACTCCAGATCATTGTGCAGGTCTGATCTGCAACTACAGGAAATGTTTGGTTGAGGTTATTGCTGCCAAAGGAGGTTCAACCAGTTATTAAGTCCAAAGGTGCACATACTTTTTCCTCCCTGCACTGTGAATGTTTACATGTTATGTGCAATTAAATCATGGCAACATATAAGGTTTGTGTGTAGTATTATGTTCAGCAGACTGTGTTCTTCTATTGTTGTGACTTAGATGACGTTCAAAGCACATTTTATGCCCAATTCATGCAAAACTCCACGTATTCTCAAGGGGTTCACATACTTTTTCTTGCAACTGTATACCAGGGGTCTCCAAAGAAAGGGCCCCCCGTCTTTATTATTAGGGGTAGAGTAGAGCCCCATCATTGGTGTCAGTGGGAGGAATAGTGCCCCATCATTGGAGTCATTGGGAGGAATAGTGCCCCATTGTTGGTATCAGTGGAAGTAATAGTGCCCCATTGTTGGTGTCAGTGGTGTCAGTAGGAGGAATAGTGCCTCATCGATAGTATCAGTTGGAAGAATAGTGCCCCATTGTCATGGTCATTAGGAGGAATAGTGGCTCATCATTCGTGTCAGTGGAGGAATAGTTTCCCATCATTGGTGTCAGCGGGAGGAATAGTGCCTTATAGTTGTTGGTGTCAGCGGGAGGAATAGTGCCTCATAGTTGTTGGTGTCAGTGGGAAGAAGAGTGCCCATTGTTGGTGTCAGTGGGAGAATAGTGCCTCATCATTTGTCTCAGTGGGAGGAATAGCACCTCATCATTGTTGTGTCAGTGGGAGGAATAGTGCCCCATTGTTACTGTCAGTGGAGGAATATGCCCCATTGTTATTTTCAGTGGAGGCATAATGCCCCATTGTTATTTTCATGGAGGAATAATGCCCCAATTGTTCTTGTCAGGGGAGGAATAATACCCCATTGTTATTGTCAGGGGAAGAATAGTACCCCATTATTGAAGTAAGGAAGCAGGATTTATGATCTATTGTTGGTGTCAGTGAGAGGAATAATGTTTTGTGTCAGTTCCCCAAGGGCCAGATGAATGCAAAAAAAGGGTTCCATCTGGCCCCTGGTCTCAGTTTGGAGACTACTGGAATATACCAATGCCCAAGAGATTGAGAGAGAGAGATAATGAATATCTTGCATATTTCTATATTTTGTAATGTTAGAACCTGAAGTTAATATGTATTTTTTGGGAATTTGTGCTGTCTGATATACACAACATAGTTAAAAAAGAATGACAATCAAAATTAATGACATAAAAATGAATAAACCAATAAAATATCAAATAAAACCAGCTTTAACACATTTAAATAAGTATTGTTGGTTAATTATGTCTTATACGTATGTGCCCACAGTTCAACTTTAGGGAAGGCGCAATATATTTCTATTTAGTTAAGGCGCAATATATTTTTCCCTTCAATACATTTTTTTTTAAGAAGTTTGGAGTTTAGAAAGTACAAACGCAACTGCTGTAATGTGTACAAGTAGAGCTATAATAATAAGGGGTACCAGTTTAAAAGCAGTCGTGCACAGAAAAACCATACCTGTAATTGGTAATCAGTGTAAGGAATGGTGAAGGGATTATACACCTATTGCCTAATCTCTGGCAATAGCGAAAGAAATAGTGGCATTGAAATGCACAAAGTGTATAGCCAAACCAAGAAATACATAGAACACATTGTAAATCACCCCTGCGGAAGAGCCAATAGGGTGAGAAAGGCAGAGGAGAAAGACAAGAAAGAATCGAAAGGAGAATGTCAAAATCACTTAAACCTGGGCTATGGATCCTCTGAAATTATAGCGAAGTAAAGCTGACTATTGACATAGCAGGATGGGTGTGTTGAATCCATGGAGTCCATGTTTTGAGAAATCTCTTGTTAGTATCTGAAAGAATGCTAGAGAGTTTTCATTAACCAGAAGAAATCTAGGTGGCTATTGACTTCTGTAAAGGATATGAATTGTTGTTTCCAGGCTTTTGCTATAGTTTGTTTAGCTGCCAATAGTACGTATGTAGCCAGCTTAAATTGGTGTTTTATAGGGCCCGGGGGCTTCAGATGCAGAAGAACATGCCACGGGTCCCTTGGTAAGGGGCGAGCTAAGAATGAATACAGGAGTTTACGGACCTTTGCCCAGAACTGTGAGAGAATAGGGTATGTCCATCATATGTGTAGGACATCTCCTGGGGTAGTGCAGCCTCAGAAACAGGTACCGGGGGCAGATGGGTGTAGGTGTGCTAAACAGGATGGGACCAAGTACCACTTTGTAACAGTTTTAAATGCTGATTCCATTGTAAGAATATTGATAGAACATGAGGTCAGGGTTGTCCATATCTGTGACCAGCAGCCCATATCTTTGGTGCTTTTAAGGTCCTTTTCCCACCTGGAAACACAAGTGTGGTTGTTGGGATTCTGAAAGTTAGTCAACTTTGAGTTAAGGATGGAAATAAGTTTGGAGGAGAAGGGCGTCTGATGGTAAATATAATACCTCGGTTTACAAACGCCTCGGTTAACGTAATTTTTGGTTTGCGAATGAAAATCCATTGAAAATAATGCCTCGGTTTACGAATTTTTTTCGCAAAGTGTATTTGGTGCCGATTTTTAATTGCAATTACCGACTTATTTTTCTTCACTATAGCTCACAGACCTGTCGCTTTCCCGGAGTTACAGTAAGCTTTGTTTCTTTTAAGAAACTAAAAGGAAAAACATTGTGTCTTTTAACGTGGGGAAATAAACTAAAAAGAAACTTTCTCTTTTAGTTGGGGGGCAAGTGACAGCTGAATCTCTGAGCTATAGTGAAGAAAAAAAAACCAAAAACGGTAATTTAAAGACCAACACCGCTTCCGACGATGGCTCCCGCCGTCTGCCTGCTCTGGTGGTTTGACAGTTCTTAAATAGGTAAGGGGCGGGGCCACCTGGGGACATAACGCATGTGACCCCACCCCATGTGACATCAATAATGTCACGTGGGGCGGGGTCACTCGGGTAATGTCCCTGAATGGCCCCGCCCCTTACCTATTTAAGAACTATCAAACCACTGGAGCAGGCAGATGGCGGGAGACATCGTTGGAAGCAGAGCCTTTTTTCTTTAATTGTTTTTTTTGGGTCGGCGGTGGCAGTGGGCAGCGTGATTGACGTTGGATCTATTGCGGGGGACATTCTCTTAGTTTTTTCTTTTAATAAAGGACTTGTCAAAGACCGTGTCCTGTCTTTTTTCACACTACACTTTTTGTTAAAGGGTGCTTCCAGATTCCGATAAGCCCCCTGCCCGCAGACCCCCACAACCACTGGCCAGAGTTGTGGGGAAGAGGCCCTTGTCCCCATCAACATGGGGACAAGGTGTTTTGGGGGGGAGCCCCCCTGCCCCAAAGCACCCCCCCATGTTGAGAGAATGTGACCTGGTATGGTTCGGGGGGGGGTGCTCGCTCGTCCCCCTTTCTTTCCTGACCTGCGGGCTGCACTGTCAGGAATCCAACCGCGGTAGCCTCTAGCACTCCACAGACCGGAATCCCCCAAGGCGCGGAATCTAAGCTCCGACCTGCTTGTTCACCAGGGCCCCTGATGGTGGGGATGGACTTAGAGCAGGCCGAGACCAGGTCGCGGCCCCTGGGTTCACCGAGCTGTGGTAGAGGCACCGTAGAAGGCATATAGCGGGTAAGAGTCTGATGTGAGGAGGTAACTAGAGCAGCGTCGGGCAGGCCGGGTCGGTAACAGTGGTGGCGGTGTAGTACAGAATCAGCAGGCAGAGGGATAAGCAGGTCACAAGCCGGGTTTGTCAACAGGAGGTCAGAACGTGCGGGATTAAGCAGGAGAATGGTCAGACAAAGCCAGGGATCAGAACAGGAGACGGACAGCAAATCAGGATCAGGCAGGGTCGGCAACAAACAATCTACTCTCAGGAACTCAGGAACACAGATAAGACCATAGGGCAATTGAGCATTGCAAGAGCCGGGTTTAAATAGCCCGCCCGACTCCTGACAGGCGCTCCTGGGTCCTAGTGCTTGCCCAGAGCCGTCATTGGTGACAGGCACGCCTGGGTCCTAGTGCCCGCCTGCCTGTATGTTTTGTCAGGATTCTACGCATATGCAGATTCAATCTCCGCGGCGATCTTCTCATTCCCTGACATGCATGCTGCATAAGGGTCTGGTATGGATTTTGGGGGGGACCCACACGCCATTTTTTTTTAAATTTTGGCATGGGAGTTTCCCTCAAAATCCATACCGGACTAGAAGGGCTTGGTTTGGATGAGAGGGGGGACCCCACATCGTTTATTTTTTTTTTTAATTGCCTGCAATTCTTTTACATTCAGCTGTCAGTGGGGAACCCCGCTGACAGCTGAAACATTAACACATGGTTGTCACTACTAAAATACTGCATGACTTGATAAAATAACTCATGTGGTATTTTAGTAATGTTTACTTTTTTCTGACCTCAAGAACGGATCAATTGGTTTTCAATGCATTCCTATGGTAAACGGCGTTGTGGTTTACAAATTTTTCGCTATACGAAAGGTCCCGCAGAATGAATTAAATTTGTAAACCGAGGTATGCCTGTGTGTTCAAACAGGGACAATTGGGTTGTTGGTTCTTTGTCAGTGAGTACTGAAGTAACCCAATGTTTAACTGGTTGCCGTCCAGCCACAGTGTTTATACTTCGGCAGGGTGGCACCGCTGCGCAGAATCATGTTTTTAAACATCATTCTGCAAAACAGGTAGGGGGGACGCGTGAGTTGCATGACCGCCCTACCCGTACCGCTGATCACGGCCGCGGGTGTCAATCACCGGGTCCCAGCCGGTCATTATCTGCTGGGTTCCGGCGATTACAGCCAATCACTGACAGGGAGCACGGCTTCAGTGTTTACACTGCAGCTTTGCTCCCTGTCAGTTCCGAGCACACTGATCCTGAGAGAGGAGTTTATCTCTCGGGATCAGTGTGTTCCTGTGAAGCACACCCCCCGCCCCCTAGTAAGACACTCCCCTCACACAATTAACCCTTTAATTCCTTAAAAAAAAGTTAACCCCTTTCCTCCCCAGTGCCATTAGTACAGTGTCAGTGTTTTTTTTTTTTTTTTTGCACTGATCACTGGGGATGTCAGTGACCCCAAGTCAGTTCCCACCAGTGTCAGAATGTTCGCTGATCGCCGCCATAAGTCGCTGATCTCCGCCATAAGTCGCTGATCGCCGCCATTATTAGTATAAAAAAAATTTTTAAATCCAGTATCTATCCCGCCATTTGTAAACACTATAACTTTCACGTAAACCAATTAATTTACATGTATTGGGATTTTTTTTTAGCAAAGACATTTCACAGAATACATTTTGGCCAAAATTTATGATGAAATTTGATTTTTAAATTTATTTACTGGACATATTTTATAGCACAAAGTCCAAAATATAGTTTTTTTTCTCAAAATTGTCAGCCTTTTTTATTTTATAGCGCAAAAAAATAAAAACCGCACAGGTGATCAAATACCACCGAAAGAAAGCTCAATTTGTGGGAAAAAAAGGACATAAATTTAATTTGGCTGTAGTGTTGCATGACCGCGCAATTGTCAGTTAAAGTAATGCAGCAACATAACACAAACCGCTTCTGTAACCGCTTCCTGACCGCCGTATAGCAGAAATACTGCTACAGGGGGGCACGGGTGCACAAAATCACACACACATATATATATATATATATATATATATATATACATATTATATAAACATGATTTCCGCTCCCATGGTTTTCACGCCCCTCCCAGATAGCGTCAGATTGCCTGTCAGTACACCAGGCATCACATTTAACCCCTGATTGCCAGGAACACGCTCATGCACAATAAACCTCCATTGCTAGTATATTGTCTGAACGGATCAATATCTTTGATCAGATCAGCACTATATCAGCGTTCACATTAGTATGGTGTCCCCAAAAATGCATCGTTAGCGGATCAGCCCCAGCACCTACGCTTACCCCCCTTCTCCCCCAGCAAGTGCAGTGTCAGTAGGTCACTGTCACTTGATACATTACACACAAAACCGCAGTTTTTGCAGAATCAGGCCTGATCTCTGTTAGCACTTGTCAGTAAATTTTGATGACTCTCATATGCAGCAGAGTGCCAGTACTAGTGCCACGCTACCTTTTGGTGAACTGGCGAGTACTAGTGGCCTAGTACATCCTGGTCTTTCACATATCTCTTAGATTGTAAGCTCCCAGGATCAGGCCCTCCTAACCCTCTTGTATTGAACTGTATTGTTGCTGTATTGCCTTCCGTTATATTGTAGCGCTCAGCAAACTGTTTCGCTATATAAATCCTGTATAATAATAATAATATCAGCACTGCAGTATGACTTGGCGACGTGGTGAGTCCCATAAGTGCAGTACAAGCTGGTGCGGTGGCAAGCACAAGTATTGTTCCGCAACCACAAAGAATTCGCACACAGACCCGTAGAGCTCCTAGTATCCTTCCGGATGTGCTTGCAAATCCCAATTGACAGCCCACAAATTCTGCAGCACCTGTACTTCCCCCATTCACTGCCCAACCCAGAATTCAGGTGGAAATAGCAAATTTAACTACTCCCCTTGATTTTTGGAGCTGTTTTTCATGGAATATCTGTATGCGTTGATTGTGGATCAAAGCAATTTATATGGACAACAATTTATCGCCGCCAACCCAAATTCAAACCTTGCCAGACCAGTCACATGGAAACTCATTACGGTTTTCGAATTTACATTTTTTTTGGGTCTAACCCTCAACATGGGCATTACTAAAAAAAAATGAATTGCGGTTGTATTGGTCCACAGACCCAATTCATCATATGCCCGTGTTCTCTGCTGCCATGGCCAAGCATAGATATGAGAGTATAATGTGTTTTATGCATTTCAATGACAATATACTCTGTCATCCTCCGGGTAACCCTGAATTTGATTGGCTCCACAAAATTCAGCCCCTCGCAAATCACCTTAACCAAAAATTAGCAGATGTCTATACTCCCCAGCAAAACATCTGCATTGATGAGTCCCTCATTAATTTTTCTGGCCGCCTTGCATTCAAACAATTTCTCCCCAGCAAGCGTGCCAGATATGGGGTCAAGATGTAGAAGACCTGTGAGAGGACAACAGGCTATACTTATACGTTTCGGATTTACGATGGAAAAGATAGTCACAAGGAGCCCCCCAGATGCCCAGACTACATGGGGAGCAGTGGCAAGACAGTTTGGGACTTGTTGTCATCCTTTTTCCATATGGGGTACCAATTATACTTGGACAATTTTTATTCAAGCGTGCCACTATTTAAACATTTGTTCAATCTTGGAACTGGCGCTTGTGGCAAAGTGTGACCTAATATGTGCCAACCATTAGAAGTGGGTGGATGCAGGGTGGTATATTCTAATGGCGGGCATACCACACACTTTTTTTGGAAGAGATTTCTTCTCTTTTTTTCATTCAGTCCACAGGCTGCATACAAAAAAAAAAGAACATAGCATATATAACCAACAAGGATCAGCGATGTACTGGTACATCGCTGGACTTTGAATGGTTATACCAGGATGATGCCTACAGCTGCAGGCATCATCCTGGTATCATTTTTTTCAGCCGGCGATCAGCTTTCATGTAAAAGCAATCCTAGTGGTTGATTAGCTGCAGGATTTCTTTTACAGGCAGCGGGAGATGATGCCCCCCTCCCCCGCTGCCTTCCACGGCCTTCTCGGGCAGTCCCATGCCATCAGGGAACCTGAGAATGCAGCCAGTGTTTCTGCCAGCTGACCATAGAGCTGATTGGAGACCAGAGTGGTGCCAATCATCTCTATAGTCTAAGAATTCGGAAGCTACAAGCATTTCATCACTTCAGTTTTGCAGGATATAAACAGCGCCATTTGTAAATTTAGAAAGCATCTGATCACACCGATTTTGGTTTGATTAGATAATGTAAGGGCAGAGGAGATATCCAGAGTCTGATAGACTCCAGATTTCTGAAAAAAAAAGAATATATGACAATGCCCATTGAAGTTATAGGGGATATTTGTATTCCCTGTGATAGCATCAAAAGTGATCAAAAAAAAAAAAAAAATGAAAGGTACAGTGTAAAAAAGAATTAAAAAAATCAAAATAACTTAAAAAAAAATAAATAAAAAACTTGTCCCTCCTGTGCGCGCACACCTGTCTGCACAAGCCTTGGCTTGGTATTTGTGCATTAAAAGTAAAAAAAGTGTATTTTAAAAAAAATAAATTGGAGTTTGAACAATCGCTGCACGAGTACTATGTGCCATAAAAAATTGTAGTACCCAGCACTTTATTTACTAGGGTGTCTGCTTTAAAAATATATATAATGTTTGGGGGTTTAAATTAATTTCCTAGCAAAAAATACAGATTTTTTTTCATGTGAACAAAAAGTGTCAGAAAAGGCTTGACCTTCAGGTGGTTAGAGTGAATGATGTGTGGCATAAACTTCTAATGCTGGGCATAAAACGCCCCCACCCCCCAAAACCACCCCTTTTTGGAAAGTAGACACCCCAAACTATTTGCTGGGAGGCATGTTGAATCAATAGAAGAATTTATTTTTTTACCACTTTGTCACTTAAATGATTTACTACTCACACATGCCATGGGTATATGTGGAATTACTCCCCAAAATACATTCTGCTACTTCTCCCGAGTATGGGGGTACCACATGTGAGAGACGTTTTGGCAGTACAGGTCCCCAAAATCCAATAAGCACCTTCAGGCTTTTAAAGGGCTTTATTTCCTCATTACACTTCCTCACTACCTATCACAGTTTCGGAGGCCCTGACACACCAGAATAGCACCTAACCCCCCCCCCCCCCAAATGACCCCTTTTTGGAAAGTAGACACCCCAAGGAATTTGACAAGAAGCACGGTAAGTATTGTGCAGATCTCATTTGTTGCCTGGAGATAGCCATCATGGTGGAGAGAAGGTAAAGCGGCTAGAAGACACAATAGGGATCCAGGTGCAAATATGGTAGACATTTCAACGTTCAAGGAAATCAAGAAAAAAAGAAACTGGGAGGGAGAATACAGTAAGAGAAGGGATGGGGGGCTCAACTGCAGGGATGCCAGAAAAAAATTGTCTAAGCAATCTACGGCGGGGAACATATGCACTGCCATAACTGGGGGTTGCTGGGACCGACTGAGCTCACCTTGCAGTATATAATCATGAAACATGTTGGATAAAAGTAGCAAAACTATTCCCTGACTTTGGGGAAAGGGAGGAAAGAAGGAAGGGGGAGAGAGAAGAGGAAAGAAAAAAAATGG